GCCCCTTAGCTGTTATAAATTCACTGTAAACCACGGCTTCACGGGGCTTATTGCTTTATAAAATTTCTATCACATTAGTTCAACACATAATGGTTAAGTATATAATTGTGGCTCTGCTTTCTAAACTACAAACATAAATGTGCATTTTTATTCTAGTTCCATTGTAAAAGCAAAACAATGAACACGTTTTTGATTGTTTTTACAAACTGAGGCATGAAATTAATTTTTGTGGTAATTCACAGATATTGTCAAGGTAAACTTAAATAGGCTATAACCCAAACCATTAACCCAAAAGCACCCTTAAAAAATAATATATATAAAAATGAAATAATTCAAAATATCAAAACAAAAACGGTTTGATAAAAAATACATATCTAATCCTTCTTTGCATTAAAAATGTGTGCAGGACTGTTTTGTATGTAACAGCTTCTGCTTTGTGGGTTAGTGTGAAGTAATATCTGACTTGAGTGTGTTGATGTCCGTTTCGGCACTCAGAGATGTTAGTGAGGGGCGTGACCTGCCTGCCTCCTTCTCGTCCTCCATCTGCAGTCTGATTGGCCGCCTCACGCCCCAAAAAACATTGAGTAAACCCTCTATGATCAACTCTCCTTCCTCCTGTGAAAATCACATAACACTCATGTCATATGGCATCAATACAAACAGCTGTAATTTACCAACTGACCAACTAACCTCTCTGTGTCTCAACTGTAGGGCTCCTCCTTTGTAATAAAGGTTGTATGTGTTAAGGGTTGAGAGGAGAATGCTCCTGCAACCAAAAAGAAAAAAGGAAAAAGGAAAGGAAGTCAGGTTTATGAGAACGGTGAGAGCAAGAAACCTTGCAGTAACACAGCAAAATGCACTTACTTGCTTACAAATTTATTTTCGCCAATCTGGACCTTGTCTGGATCCTCACTGTCCATGTCGAGTCAGTAGAAAAACACTAGGAAGGCCTGTAAAGAGTGAAGGGATGAACTGAAAAAGGATGTTCGAAAACTTCTCCTCAGAGAAAAAAGTAAAGGAGAATCTCATGACTTTTCGCTTCATAATCGCAAAAGGACTCCAGGCAAGATTTTCACACACAGAAACACACAAGCTGGATAAAAGATGAGCTGAACTGTCCTACACCACACTGTTAAACTATTAAAGGCTGTAAACACACTTTTAGGTCAAATATTTTATATTTTACCATGATTTACTGTGACATATTCCATCCGTTTTACTGCTGATGCAAAAGTAATGAACAAGAAATGACTAATACATCCCAACCAAGCAATAACGTCACAGAATTTGCACTTACACACTTAAAAATATAGGTTCTTCATTGGCATATGGTTCAATGAAGAACCTTTACAGTGATAATTCACCCCGAAATGAAAATACTGTCACCATTAACTCAATCTCATGTTGTTCCAAAACTGTATTTCTTCTGAGAAGATATTCTTAAGAATGTTGGTAACCAAACAGTTATGTTTACCATTGACTTCCATTGGATTTTTTTTGTCTACACATTGTTTGGTTAACATTCTTCTAAATATCTTCATGTTCTACACACAGGTTTGGAATGACATGAAGGTGAGTAAATAATGACAGAAATTTATTTTTTGGGTGAACTATCCCTTTACATCAATGGAACATTTCCATTACATAAAAGGTTCTTTAGATTAAAAAAAAAATGTTCTTCACGCTTGTTCTTTTAAGAACGGTTCACTGAAAGGTTCTTTGAGAAACCAAAAATGGTTCTTCTATGGCATCACTGCAAAAAAAAAAAAAAAAAACCTTTTGAAACCTTTGAAAGAGTATAGAGAGCTGAATTCAGTTTTTAAACCAACATTTCATCCACTGTAAGTCAGTTTATCTGAATTGATATTTGGTAATTTACCTGTAAAAGTCAAGATGACAAAGCAGGTGACTTACTGTACAAGCAGCACGTGCGCGAATCCAGCAAAGTCAGTGAAATCAACTCAGACTCTGGCACACACATCAGATGATGTGACTGTACCAGTCAGCAAACGTGGAAGTCTTGGAAGTCAGTTGGTCAGCATGAAAACAGCTGTGTTGCGGATGAAAGCGTGTCGTTGACAAGCTAAAGTAGTCTCTGCCCCTCCCTGTAAGACTCTTCCTCATTGCAAACGTTCAGTCAGGAAGTCACAGCTATTTTCACTCGGGTCAGACTTCCTCCCATACGCCACAGGTATGTACACACTGCCCCCAACCACAATTCAACGTGCACGCCAAGATAATTACTAGCACAGATAGCCAACGTTCGAATGGTTTGCTGGGCCAGACAGGAAGCACACTTGGTCGAGCACATAAACAGGCCTGTGGATTGTCCATTGGGGCAGATGTTAACACCATCCCTTGAATGCAAGACTAGTGAACACAATGTTCTTCACTTAAAAGAAACATGTGCTTACCAAATAAATGAAATTAACAGCAATATGCATCATGTAAACATCTTTGTATATTAGTCTTTAAAATCCAACTATTGTGAGTGTTGGATGAGTCAGAAGGCATAATTTCTACTGAATTTCCTTTTTTTCTGAAATCTTAACCAAGTGTATTTCATTCTCAAAATACAATGCTTTGATTCTGTGGAGGCACGTCTAATATAGTGAATTGAATTGTTTCTCTGTGTTTAAGGAACCTGGTGACCCAGAAAAAGAGGAAGCTTTATAGGTTGTGATGTGAATGGCATCAATTTTACTGTATGTTTTGACTCATAAACCAGAGCTAAATAAAGAGGATAGAGAGAGAGAGAAGGAACATTGAATTGATGCAAAGGCTTCTTTCACTTGTTCCTGCTTAAACTTTCATCTGTTCCTCTGGTAACAAGCAGGTTTGAGCACAGCATTGCCACCTTGTGGAAGCTAATATAATTGCAAATTGATTCATGATGTCTGGGTCACAGTAATACTGTTTATACAGCAATGAAAAATGTGGACATTTAAGCCACATTTAATTTTGTAAAATGAATAATATCAAACTATCTAATGCAAACCTCTAATGTTTATGCCACTCGTTGTTAAAACAGATTTAATACATTTAACACATTTAACATAGCACATTTAATTACTTTTTTGTGTTCCTTTTTTTGTCATGGGAAATACATGGAAGAATTTAAGATATTCCTTCCAAATTAATAAATAACAAGGGTTAATAATATTATAATAATTATAATTATTAATTATATAATTATTATTATTAAAATAATTAAAAATAAACAAATAGTGCAGATTGGTGCTGGATTAATGCTAAGTCATGTATCTCTCTTTGTTAAAATGTATATTTAATGACTTAATATTTATTTAACATAACAATATACTGTGCCACACCATTGAATATAAATAAATGTATGAATTTAAGCCCAAAATTAAATAGCTTCCAAATTAAAACCAAATAAATAAATAAATAAATGTAAAAAGAAAATGTATTGTCTGGATTAGTACTTGACTAATGCAAATCTCTGATAATATTTTTGTCTCTCTTTGTTAAAATGTATATTTAATTACTTAATATTTATTTAACATAGAAAATACTGTCACACCGTTGAACTTGTCATGGCAAATAAATGGAAGAATTTAAGCATATTCCTTCCTTCCTTCCTTCCTTCCATCCATCCAATCAATCAATCAATCAATCAATCAATCAATCAATCAATCAATCAATCATGAATAAATGAATGGCTAGGAAAGCATTTCCCTCATTTCTACTACAGCCTCACTGTGTATTTTTATAGTTAAATTTTTGTTTGAATTTCACATAATTTACTTATTAAATTATGTGAAATAATAAATAAATATGCACATCATGGAGTTATTCACAGATGCCTTTATTTCTTTGTAAAAAAAAAAAGGCAAATATGCAAAAGTTCATTTATCTACATATATACAAATGAGCATTTACAACCTGTCTTGAATGCTTAAGGTTAAATTGAGACACACGCAGACGGCCCACATCTTGTTGTTAAAGCATTCAATGCAATCAATCATAATATTCATTCACATGCTACAGATGATGTGCAAGGCCTAGGTACAAAACACAAGTGTTTCTAGAGAGTCCCCGTGGAGCGCTTGAGGACTAATGGAACGATGCTGAGAGTCGATGTGGAAAAAGAGCCAGAGGATCATTCTGCACTTCATGCTGCGCTCTAGATGACATTCTCAAACAGCTGCATGGAGCTCATAATGTTCTCATCCTAATAAAACAGCAGAGGCAGGAAAAGCGTCAGTCACAGATTGTTGCTGACAGCTTCATGTTAGAGAGAGTTTAGAAAATGTCTGGCTGTCACACGGTGACAGTGAGAGCCTCCGTATCAACATAAATCTGTCCAGTGTTGACATTTCTCTGACATTAACTCTGATGCTTCTGTCTATGCATGGTGAACAACCGCAGATACTTCTAGACATGACTTCAAAACAAAAGCATTTAAAGGGGTCATGAGTTCAGAGATGATCATGGCTGGCTGACATAATTTCTATGGGACTGTTAAAAGTTTGTTACCTGGAAGAATTTCTCCACGTGTTCAAATGCAGCATCATCTTTTACACAAGGAAAGGTGTACCTGCCCATCATGTCATAGATGGACTTCATGATAGCCAGCATTTCCTGTAGAAAATGAATGTTAATCGCGGTAACAAATTGTACTAATGTAACAATGTTAACACTGGTGTTTTGTACCTCTCTGGTGATGTAGCCATCTTTATTAATGTCATACAGGTTAAAGGCCCACCTCAGTTTCTCTGTCACAGAACCTCGAAGCAGAACAGACAGGCCGATTACAAAGTCCTGCCAAAACACACATTTTACAATTGATTAAAAACAAAACTAAATTTAATATTGTCAGTTGTGATTATCTGTTGGACTAACACTTATGTTCTGTTGATATTGAACCTAATGACGGAAGTGTAAAAATAACAGTAGTAATTAACCTCTTTTTTGTTCCTCTGATATAAATCTAGTAGACTGATATTATTGTTAATCTTCTGATTTACAGGAATATAAACATTTGAGTTGAATACAGTAATATAACACTGAGCTGCTGTCTTTCAAATTATAATTTTTTTTTAAATGGTTTGCAATTTTTAATAATGTTCCTTACCTCAAAACGAATAGAGCCATTTCGGTCCATGTCAAAAGCATTGAAAAGGAAGTGTGCGTATGTGGTTGCATCTAGAAAAAAGAAGTGATTGACTATATTCTTGATATTTGGATTTTATTACTTAAAAATTGGACACACCTACTCATTCTTTATTATGACTTTTATAGATTTTATAATAAGAGTCAAGTCATAAAAACAAAACAAAACAAAAATGCGGAGTAATATCTAACATCTAAAACTATTTAAACCATTTAAAACTATTTTAGTTTTAAAAATAAAGTTAAATAAATGCATTAATAAATAAAAACAATAAAATAAAAACAATAACAAATTAAATAAATAAATTAATTAATTAACGAGAAGTTGAGAACAATGAGAGAATTTTAATTAATGCTATTCCCTTAGAGGTATAGTACATAAATTCTCCCGTAGATGCCTGGCACATCCCACTAACATAATGTACTTGAACCAAGATTATATCCACACTAATCAAGATCCACCAAATTAGAGTTGTGATAAATGTGATAATCACTTTACCTCCTTGAGGGAAGAACTGGGAATAGATTGATTTAAACGTCTCCTCATCCACCAATCCACTGGGACACTCCTATTAAGAAACATAATTTGACCTTAATAACCCAACCTAACATAAGAAGGAAACATTCACTTGTGACAAACTTGTGCTTTTTAAGGAGTCTTACGTTTTTGAAGCCTCTGTAGAGCGACTGCAGCTCCTTCCTAGTGAACTTGGTCTGAGCCTGGAGCTGCTCCAAGCCCTCTGGCTGATGTCGAACCATGGCCAACTCCAGATCACTGTCAGTGCTGTCTGTCAGAGAGAGAGCATGAGGATGAGGATGAGGAAGAGAGGGGAGAGGAGGGCCGTGGAGGAGGTGAGTGACTGATATCAGTTGGGCTGCACTGAGGACAGGACAGTAAAGGAGGAAACAGGTAAAGCATGTGTCCAGGTGAAAGAACAGCCACACATTTGGGGTTGAAAAGAGGAAGACAAAAATAGACACTAAATAAACCACAGAAGAGGAGCTGTTGGGGAGACAGACGGGGCGGGACGGGAGACCAGGACGGCTCGATATCAGTGATTCTCAACTGGTTTTGCTTCAGGGCCCAGAATTTTAATTGGACGTCAAGTGGTGACCCAACACCAAGCACCAAAATTGGTTAACATACAAAAATGCCCTTAAAATGAAACATTGAAATCTGTCACTCTTGTAAAAAAGACCTACACTTGCTAAAGTATGACGTGAATGTAATGTTTTGGGACATTTACATGTTGAGTATTTTAATAAGAATTTATATCAAATGCAATTAACTGAAACGAAATTTGCTGAAATATGTTTGTTTGTATTTTAGCATCGTTTTCCCCCACAACCTTAGTAATAACCTGCAACCCCCCAGTTGAGAACCGCTGACCTATCTGACATTTACTCACCATCTATGAGGCATACGAGAACATAAACAGGGAAGGGAAGAGATTTAGAGAATATAGAAATAAGAGAGAAATAAAGAGGAAGCAATGCAAAAACAACACATTAGTTGGACAGTACTACAACTGCATGACATTAAATGAATGTATTGCCTCATATTCTGAATAAAGCTGCTGTATTCTTCTTAGATTATGTGCAGTTGTTACCACCTTGTTCTTTTTGAATTTTTCAGTTAATTTAGTTTCCACATGCAGCACATTTTTTAAGCTACCTGACTAGTGTACACTGAGCATATAGTGCAAATAGACACATTATATTTAAATCACAAAAGATTTCCATTTCAAATAAATGCTGTTCTTTTGAACTTTCTATGCATAAAAGAATCCCGAAAATATATCAGTTATAAGAAATGTTTTTTGAGCAGCAAATCAGCATATTAGAATGATTTCTGAAGGATCATGTGCCACTGAAGACTGGAGTAATGATGCTGAAAATGCAGTTTTGCATCACAGGAATAAATTACATTTTAAAATATATATTTAAATAGAAAACAATTATTTTAAATTGTAATAATATCTCACATTATTACTGCACTTTAGATCAAATTAATGCAGCCTTGGCGAGCATACACTGTAAAAATGATTGTGATTTTAACAGTAAAAGACTGTAAACATGTTACAGTAAAAACCTGTTAACTGGTTAACAGTAAGTTTCCATACTATATTCGGTGAATACATGTAATTACTTGATATTATTTGATGTTTTTTGTTGTTGTTGAAATAACATGTTTCTTCTTAGTTTTATCTTATCAGTTGTGTACACTAGAGTTTAATCTTACATCTAATGTTGTTAAATTAATGTTTATTGCATTATTTCAGTATCATGTGTGTCACCATGATGGGGTTTAGTGTTTGTGTGAATGACACTGTGCACCATCTATATATAAGTATTGCCCTCCTCAGCTCGTAGAAAAGCAGTTTGTGATGAGCTTTGGTTCATCATGTGACATTCTCATCACCACCAGTTTTTGGTGGTTATCAGTGCAGTACAATGGTTCAAAACAGATATTAGTACATCAGTATGTTGGTTTATTAACATTACATCAGTTAATGAAATACGGTATTTTATTGTGAATTTAAGTTAAGTCTGTAAAACCTAAAATGTTGCTACCATATTTTTTACGGTGAAGTTCTGGCAACCACAGCTGCCGGTATTTTACCGTAAATGTCACAGATTTTAAAATTTTTTTTTTACAGTGTAAGACACTTATTTCATAAGCAGTAAAAAATCTTACCGACCTCAAACTCTTGAATGGTCACGTACACACCACACGTTACACCAATGCAAGTCATTTTAAGAGTTTGGTCAGGTAAAAAAAAGCTCCTAATACACATTTACCCTTTTTACAGTAAACTAGGGCCAACATCAAAACCATACGGTGGTTCTTACCGTCCAGCGACAGCGGCTCCATGATGCCAAACTGTTTGAGCACCATTATAAACAGAAGAATCACTACAGCAACTGCAAACAGCTCCATACCCTGAATAGCCATTGCACTGAGAGCTAACTGCGACTAGCTATGCGATTCCTTCAAGAAAATTTACAAAGGTCAAGAGGTCATGCTAGATTTCAACTGAATGATTTTAGGAAAAGCAACTCATCTTGTTTGATCAATGGTTCTGCTGCAACAAGTTCTTAAAGTCTCCAGGGTCCATTCCCGGAACAGTCCATTCCTGGAATTCCTGATGCATTAAGCTATAAACAGACCACAGATGTAAACCGTACAGTAATGCCGGCACTACGGATCCTTTAAAATAAAGTAAAAATTAAAATAAAGTCACTAAGTTACAAATTCCTTCACTTCCTCATCCATGTATCTCTATAACAACATCAAGCATACGGAAACGTCCTGTGGCTTTGGTCTCCACAGACTAGCGCGTCATGGTCCTCCTCAGCCTACATATTCCTTATAGAGTACCGAAAGAGTCTGATCTCAAGACACAGACACTCCCTCTTCCCTCTCCATCTCTCTAGCAATAAAGCACAATGATGAGCCAGCCATAATGTATGTTTAGATGCAGTTGAACTGCTGCATCATTCATTTATTTGCATGATACTAAACTACATACTTTATTAATATGCCTGGACATACAAAAGGGGTCTTTAAAATGGGTTTCTTTTGTGATAATGACAGGCTGACTGTACATTATCCCACTTATTACATGGCTACTTGCCAAATAAATAAATGAAATGTGATATAGCAATATTGATTTCAGTTCAACTTATTAAATTATGTGAGAAGAAAGAGACCACGCAGTAATATGAGATACATGATTCTAGTAGAGATTTAGGAAAATCGGTTGCCTGAAGCAATGTAGTGAGAAAACGAGCGTTTAGTTGCCATTACACAAGAATATCTGACCACAGAATCAAGATTCAGAATCAGGTATTCCAAAGCACCATCTAATAATATCTGTTAATGGTTTAATGAGAGTTATTATGAGGTTGTAATGGTTTGTCTAAAGTGGAGACATCTATAGAGTGAAATATAAAGCAAATAAAAATATTGTAAATATAAAATATACAAAATATATTGAAATGACAGGAAAAATACAGTAAAATATAATGTAAATAAATATAAATATTAAATGTAAATTACTTAAAAATAAATAAAAATATATTTTAATTAGATAAATAAAATTAAAAATTACATCAATAAATAAATTAATAAAATTACAAATACGGCAAGTAAATAAATAACATTAAAATATGACAAACAAACAATAAAAAAGTATATTTCAATCATTTGATAAGCCACTTTGTACGTCACATTAATCAGACTATTGGTGTACCGGCTAGACCATCTAAAATTAAACTTGCTTAATAATGTCTATCCTCAGCATCTACTGTACAATAATATTAAAACATCCATAAAGAATCATGACATAACTACCTCAGTCTGCTTCACTCACAAACATGCTCTTAAGTGTTTATGCATTAGCGGAAGGACAGTATGACTATTTTATGTATGTAAAAACAATGTGAAAATCTTGACCATGCCTTTCTGCTCACTTTCCTTGTCAGCCGTCTAGATACATGAAACCAAAAGCTTCATGCATGTTCAAACCGAGGAGCAGAGTGAACTTTGAATGTTATAAAGCTGATGCAGATTAAAAAAAGTGACATTCATACCTTGAGATGCTACCTCAGACAGACTGAACAACCTTGACTATGAAATGCACTGCAAGTCAGCGATATATTTTAATGAAATTATATGGAGAAAAAAAACAACAACAACAAAAAACTTATGACCTCTAAAGGCAATATTTTGTCTATTCCAAGTTGAATCTTTATTAAATGTTTTACTCATCTTTCACAGTTATGCTTTTGAATAATAATTTTATGGCTTTTTCCAGCAAATTTCAACAAATGAATCAGCATATCATGTAATGCTGTAACTGGAAGCCCTTGTTATTAATATGAGAATAGTGCATCAGAATTTTAAAGGAAGATATACTAATCACTGATAACATGAAAAACTGTACCCATCAAAGGCCTGAGTGCAGGAGGGGAAATATGACTGCTGATGAGTTTGCACTAATTAATGCATGAGTTTAAACTGGGCACAGGCATCAGAGAGTCAGGGGAAAATCAATACATGAGGAGAGGACGTGGGCCTTGGGGTGTGCCAGAAACTAAATTCAAAACACTCTGAACTTCCGCTTCAATATCTTAAGTAATTAAGTTAAAAAACAAACAAGAATTTGTTGACATTTATGCAAGACAAGTACAAGGACTGACATGAGAAAGTAGGAAAACTTACTGACACCCCAAAAGTTTGAAAGGTAGTATTTAACATAACGTGGAACCATGAAGGATTCATTTTATGTAATTTGGAAATTGCTGTGCATGTTTTTCATAAGTGATGCATTATAGACTTTATAGTATGCATGAGGGTGAATATTATCTCAGGGGAGTGTCTCCATATAAGTGATTAAAACTCAGTGCAGCTCTTAATTTAATGGCCTTGTTGCTGAAACAGCATTATAGTCTATGAGTATGATACATCAAACATGAGGCATTATTTATAGACATCTTGGGTTCTTAAGTTTGCCTGTAATTATTTACGCACCCTGAAAAGTACGTCAGGAATTATGCGATATGTAAATGTGAGAAGTATTTACATATTAATATGACTCGCATAAAACCAAAGCAATACAGAAACAGATAGTTGTTAATAAGGAAAAACATCTCTACAGGAACACCGAGATTACTTAAAGGGGTCATATGATGCGATTTCATTTTTTCCTTTCTCTTTAGAGTGTTACAAGCTCTTGGTGCATAAAGAAGATCTGTAAAGTTGCAAAGACTAAAGTCTCAAATCCAAAGAGATATTCTTTATAAAAGTTAAGAGTTAGCCACACCTACCTAAAACGGCTCGTTCGAATAGAGGAGAAACAATAATGTACAGTATGTGGTGTGGAAAATAATGTGTTTTTTTAACTTTAAACCGCATAAACACATTTCATTACACCAAATACACAAAATAATGTTCTTTTTAGCAGCATCATATGACCCCTTTAATGAATTCTACCTTTATCTGATAATACTGTCAGCATTTCTCTGCGGTTGTCAAGTAATATTGCATTAATAAATCACATTTCCTACATTCAATAAGAAGTGTCAGCATATTGCATCATAGAATGTTGCACTACACAAGTCTCACTGCTGAGGGATTTAATAGGAGACTCTAAATAATAGAAATCTGAGATATCTCAGAAAATATGGAGAGCTCTATGTGAAATAGAGCAGTGGTTTTCAATTCCAGTCCCGGCGATCCCCCGGTCTGCATATTTACAAAATGTGCAGAGCGGGGGGTCACGAAGACTGGAATTGAGAACCACTGAAATAGAGCTTCAATGAATGTATGGACTCAGATCTGATTAGCTCATATGAATGTGGCTGTAATATGCAATAGAAAATGTAGATGTATCAATATCCTGTGTGTGTGACACACAGATACAAACAATTAAAAATTTGGATTCAGTAAGAATTTGAGTATTTTACTTTGCAAGTTTGCATTTATTTGATGTAAAAAAAAACAAAAGACAAAACAAGTACAGTAAAAACTATATTTTGAAATATTATGTTGTGAAATATTACAATTTAAAATAATTGTTTTCTATTTTAACATATTTTGAAATTTAATTTATTCCTGTGATGCAATGCTGAATTTTCAGCAGCCATTCCTCCAGTCTTCCTTCAGAAATCATTCTAATGTGTTGACTTACTATTATCAATGTTGAAAACAGTTGTGTTGCCTACTATTTTTTGGAAATTGTGATACATTTCTTTCAGGATTTATTGAAAGTTTATTAGAAACCAATCTTTTGTAACATTATAAGTGTCTTAACTGTCACATTTGATCAATTTCTTAAATCATTGCTAAAAAAAACTATAAATTCTTAAAACAAATATATACTGATGATAAACCTGGTAGGTGTCACGGAATGTTGCAAATCAGAGCTCACAAAGACGGAATAACAAAGAAAACAGCCTTTAATCTAACTTACACAAGGAATACAGAGAAACAGGCTTGCAACATCCAAAACAACGTTATGCCCGGTTCAGACTACACGATTTTAGCCCGATATTGCCACGATTTGCTTGACGTAGGGTGTCGTGGGGATTAGTAAACGACAATGGGTGTCGGGACGCAAGATTCCATCATTTCAGCACGTGTAGCGTGTCATAGTGGACGACAACCAATTCCGCATCTGCGTTGCTTCACGACATCACGACAGAAAGACTAGCGTGTTTCATTTTTTTTCCGTCGTCCACGACGAGTTCTGTCACAATGGTGACGTTGACCAATAGCAGCACAGAAGTGCTTTCACACACAGGTTTCAAACATGGCAAAACGAAAAAGAGATGATGGTGCTGCTGGGTGGAATTATGAGATGGAGGAGGACATGTTTTGTGCATATGACGAGCGAAGATGCCATGATTTGACTCACAGTCAGTGTTGCCAACTGCTTTCAATTTAAAGTAGCTAAAACTGGTAGCTAAATGTTACTAGATGACATCATAATGGCAAATTCACTGATCTATATATAGATGAACGTAGATCAGTGGGCAAGATGAGAACTTAGATAAGGTTTGTCCAAGAAGTTGCTATATTTGTCCCTAAACTTTTGAAAAAAAGTCTCAAAAGGGGCGGGGAAGTCGCTAAATCTAGCTACAAAGTAGCTAAATTGGCAACACTGGTGGCAACAGTACTCCTGCCTGTATGTGGTGTCATCAAGGGACTACCACGACAGAACAAAGAAAGAAAAATGCTGGCGAACTATAGCGGAAGCGCTTCAGCAATGTTTACACTCTTGTTTTCGGAAGTCAGTCACTAGTTCTGCCTTCTCGATGACATCACCGTTAAAGACAGCACGCGATGAATGGTCGGGAAGCAAGGTGTAGTCTGACATGTATCTTGTCCACGACATGACAAGATTTTAGGAATCAAAATTGTGTAATCTGACACAGTGACTATCGTGACTGACAAAAATATCGTGTTGTCTGAACCCGGTAGGTCATCAAACTCTGGAAACATGGGACTATAAATACTAAACCAAATGAAGACTAATAGGCTAATTAATAGACAACAGGTGAACTGAATACAATAAATCACATGCACACTGGGAAACTATGTCAAGCAAGGCACTGAAGGCAAAAATCAAACAATACATGATGTTTTATTAACAAGGTTCAGGAGGAGTGAGATACTTAGCCTAATTAACACAGGTGGAGCGCACTCAAGTTAATCAACACCATGGCATAAATACAGCTGACTTACCTCTATCCATTGATGGTTTATCAGCATCCCTCCTCCGCCCCATCTTCATACTACACTTATATGGGGCAGTGTTGCCAATTTAGCTACTTTGTAGCTAGATTTAGCGACTTCCCCGCCCCTTTTGAGACTTTTTTCAAAAGTTTAGGGACAAATATAGCAACTTCTTGGACAAACCTTATCTAAGTTCTCATCTTGCCCACTGATCTATATTCATCTTTATATAGATCAGTGAATTTGCCATTGTGATATAATCTAGTGACATTTAGCTACCAGTTTTAGCTACTTTCAATTGAAAGCAGTTGGCAACACTGATACGGGGGGTACGCTAGGTTCGGGCCATTCCCGAGCTCGGAGCCCTTCCCCGGACAGCACGCCAAATATGCATTACCATACTTCAGCTAATTATATGTAAGCGTGAACTCGTGAAATGGAACATATGCTTACTAACTTTGTTCTGACATGATCATGTAAAGAACTTGAATTTTCACTAGTTACACTAGTTTATATAGCATTTTGCTACACTCACAGCCTAAGGTAATTGTATTCATGAAAGCTCTCCATATTTGCCATCTTCAAAGGCACACTGCCATCTGTTGGGCTCACACTAAAGTACAGAGGGAAACAACTGAAGTCAGTGGAGTTCAGCTGGACTTTGACTACTTGGGATTCTGTCCTGGTTTTTTGCCCTGATCTATTCTGAATTTTTGCCACCTCTGGCATCTCTTTCTTTTCTGAGTTACATTTTCATGTTTGCCCATTCTTCAAAAACACACTACTATTATTTCTATAAAACCAAGTAGCATTCTTCTTAGTGGTGTATAGTATATTATATACACTGTCAGAGAAAAATGTGCAAAAATTTTACCTATAGGGGTACAACAGCTTGTCAGTACCCTCAAAGTGTGCATATTAGTACCTTAGAATAGTAATATGTACCCTTAAGGTAGTATTATGCACTTATACTGTATGAACCCTTTAGGGTAAGTAAGGTACAAAGTTGTCCCGTTGAGGGTACTGCCCCAGTGACAAGCTGTTGTACCCCTAAAGGTACAATTTTAACACATTTTTGTCTGAGAGCATAAGGGCAAGACTTCCCTGATTAGTAAAAATTAACCAATCAGAATGAATATTTCAAATGATGTGTAACCTAAATGGATAAACTCTAGGTTCAACTGCTAATTAAATTAAGTTCATTTCTAATTATGCATGTCATAGCATTTAAATGGAACATTTTGTGCTTATTTAGTTTTAGTGGATTACTTCAAATGAGATGTAGCGCTCCTCACTGCTCAAAATCCTGTGCCTTCCTAAATGCTGGGCTCACAAAAAGCATTTCATGCTCTTATTTAAAGGCTTAAGTAATGAGAAAGTAATTGACAAACAACCTGATTTTAAAAACCTCCAGTCACTCTTTATTTCACTTGCACAAAGACAAACTTTTTGAGGCTGTCTGGAGTCCCAGATGGTTTGCTTGAAAAAGTGAAGCAGAGTCATATTTTTGCACCTGATTCAGCAGTATGTTATTTTGGTTGCTGGTCCAGGGAGCCTCTAAAAATGAACAAGAAATAAAATAATTTACAAATATCTTATTTTAAATGCATATAAACAGACTGTAGAAATGACATCAAGAAAATCAATTTGAGGATTTTTTGATAAAGAGCCCAAGCAAGGGCCAAAGGCTTGTCTGAATATAGAAAAAGAAAACTAGATGACACTACAGGCTACAAGAAATGCTGATAGGATGGAGGGATGAAAGTGAACTGGGGTCTCAGCCCTGCAGGGTACACACGCACACTACATTACTCACTGTCTGCACACACAGAAGTGCTCTGTCAATTATTTACACCGGATGTTGCAGCTCAGACACACACTGTCCCCTCACACGGTCCCTGAGCGGTCTGACACATATTAAATGCAGCACAAACTCTGCATATAACACACACTAAAACATCTCTCGGTTATTACAGAGAGATAATTAACTAAAACATCAGAATATTATTGAGAGAGGGGCAGAAGGGGGAGGATCAGTGAAAGAGGATGAAAGTAAAAATAGATGAGGAGGGAGAGAGCGATGCTGTAAGAACAGGAAAATATGACATCAGGTTGAGTGTCTTGTCAGGCAGTGTTGCTGAACAGTGTTGCGCCTTAAGCAGCAGCAGCCCTATGTTAGACAGTACACAGTATGTGCTATATAGAGTTGTAGGTTATATAGTACATACTTCCATTCAAAAGTTTTTTTTTTTTGAAAGAAATTAATACTTTTATTCAGCAAGTATGCATTAAATTAATCAAAAATGACTATAAAGATATTTATAATGTTACAAAAGATTTCTTATTTCAAATAAATGTTTTTCAGAACTTTCTATTCATCAAAGAATCTTAAAAAAACTTATCATGGTTTCCACAAAAATATTAAGCAGTTTTTAAACACTGATAATAATAAAAAATGCTTCTTGAGCGTCAAATCGGCATATTAGAATGATTTCTGAAGGATTATATGTGACACTGAAAATTCAGCTTTGCATCACAGGAATAAATTACTTTTTAAAATAAATTAAAATAGAAACAGTTTTTGCTTTGAATTTGCTTTGTTAAACCTATTAATTAAATATTAAAATAACTTTACCTGTGACTAATCTAATGATTTTTTTTTCCAGAAAAGAAAAGAAAAGAAAGCAAAATAATGTGTGCAAGCTTTATAACATTTTGTTAATGATAATCATAGCAGAATTGATTGTTTTTGGTTTAAACATATTTTCTGAATGATTCAGTGAGACAGTCACTTGTTTCATTCCTGAATGAACCCACATTTTTAAATGAATCAATGAATGAATAAAAAAAAACACCACTAATGACTGTATTTCTGCAACATCAACAACAACAAAGGACGAGTGAAAAATTCAGTGGAAAACAGTGTTGGACTATAATATCAGCACTCTCGTGGAATGCTGCTTGACCAATCAAATTCATATACCGTATGTTTATTTAGTCTAATTCGACTGGTCCACAAGTGCTGATATAGGATATAACAGCTGGTGAGCATTTCAGGGTTTGTATCGCTTGCTTGTGTTAACAGCACAATCGGAAGCTAGCGTGGAATTGTGTGATTTTGAATGGAGCAAGGAGTGTTTTTTAAAGCCTGTGTTTTTTCTCAGATCATTTGGAGCAGCTTTTTGTTCACCACTGAGTAAGGAGCAAGAATGGAAAAACCCGGAGTGGAGCATATGCTACCTTCAAGTCATGTCTTGATTTGAGTGATGCTATATGAGCCAAGCGCACATAAATGGGACAATAAAGTCTTTTTACTTGTGGAAAACTCAAGGATTGTGGGTGAGTCATACTTGAGCCCTGGGGCGCCGCACTGGCGATGATCCATTTGACCAGACAGCATTTCATCAGGGACTTGCGGGAGATGTGCGGCTTCTGCCACTTCCTGTCACTCTCCTTCTGCCCGCTGGGGTCCTCGTCCCGCCCGTTGGCATCAGGCAGCATACCTCCATCGACGCCCTTCTGTCCATCTGCCTGGAGGACATAGCCAATGAGAAAACACATTAAAAGAGCACAGATCTTAAAAGCAAGTCAAGTAGTTCACACAGAATACCATGTCTTTGAATGTACTGTTGTTACAGCCCTCACTGTCTGCTTAGACATGTTATTTTTAGTTTAGTAAAACATGTAAATACATTTTTTTTGCAGATGTTACATATCAAATTAAACAGGAGAAGCTGATTCTGATAATACCAGTTCTATCATTTAACATTCATTAACATGATCATAAATCAAATTATGAACCCGATGTAACATTTTTCTTTCTTACTTCAAAACAGTGTCAACTAAATCCTTTATATTTTACACAGATTCCTACAACTTCCATTGTCACATCAGGATGGTGGGGATTTTATCCCTGTAGTTAATTTTTAATTGGTTAAACTGATGGCATTGCAACTCGTGACTTGTTACAATGCTCCCCAGCCACCCACAGACGGTTCTACTATCAGCAACACAGAAATGACAAACACATCAAAGATGAGTAAGGTGAGAGACATGTGCTCAAAGAGATATAGACCTAGAAATAAAATGAGTAAAAATATAAAAGTAAGAGTGAGGAAAGTGTCTAAGGAATTGCAGCTTTAAAGAAAAATATTCAACACGCCTTCAAAAATGCGCTTGTCCTCATAGAAATGCACATATCTGTGAGAATTTGCTTGCATGTGCAAAGTATTGTTCATCTTGAATGAAATGAGGAATCCTGTGAGGGCCCTTACTTTTTTTCTTGTTCTTATTTGAATATGAAAAGACAGTAAGCTTTGCTCTGAACATTTAGAGCATTACTAAATAATTCAACCTCCCTAAAAACAGCATCAATACAACATCAGGGGCCAGCATCATTTTTGAGGGCCTGCATGTGTTAAATACTGCCATGAAAGAACATTTGTATTACTCACCGAAAGAAGTACAAAGAACATTTTTAATTCTCCAAAAATACACAGAATTTAAGTATTTCAGAGTTGTAAATACCTACAAGCACTAATTTACTTCACAACACATCTGCCCTGACAGGCAGGCAGTGGGGAGTGTTACATAATCACACCAGAAAATTCATTGCAGAGGGCAAGACTGTTTCTTTCCTGACTGTATTTGTGTGTTTTACTGGGATTTTGTTGATAACAATGCTCAATGTCATGTGGGCATGTGTGTATTTGTGCTGGACTGTCATGTTGTCACCTACAGACCTTGGCACCTGCTGCATTATTGACATGACAATAGTGAGTCAGTCGAGTGTATCGTGTACGGTAAGCAATGTCAACATAGCAGGCTCCAATTAATCTCTGGCTTGACCACTGTGACTGCTCAACCTGTCCCAAACAACCACATACGGCACCTTCCACATAAACAGTCCTTGATATCCCCACAGGAACACCAGGGTAGCTGCGTCAGTGGCACTGCACTGGTACAAGAGAAAACAGAGCAACATGACATACAAGTGATTTTGGTGAGAGTGATGGTGATTCTTGCCTATAAAGGTTGCAGATTTATTGTTGCCTATCTAGCAGCAACTTTACAACCTTTAATCAGCTCAATCCCTTTGTCTTGACCTCTACCAGAGTGAACTTTCAATACATCAACTGCTGTTGGATTGAGTGAGTACACAACAATGTGACTACACAGGAAATCACAATAGAGCACCTAACCAAAGCAAGGCAAGACAAGTTTATTTATAGCACATTTCATTCATAGTGGTCAGAGTGCTTTACAGAAAAATGAATTGTACCTGAGTAGAAACAAGTGCAGTACTAGTTGAGCAGGCTTGAGAACCAACACAAGTTGAGCAACTGTTTAACAGTCTATTTTAGAGCATCACTATCTGAACAGATTATAGAGCAACACTAGCTGATCAGACTTCAGAGCATCACTGAAATTATTCTAGAACAACACTATCCAACAGGTTATAGAGAAAAACTAGCTGAACAGACTTCAGAACAGCGCTATCTGAAATTATTCTAGAGCAGCACTGAGCTAATTGTAGAGCGACGCCAGCTGAGCAGACTTCAGAGAAGCACTATCTGGGAAGATTATAGAGCGACACTGGCTGAGCAGACTTCAGAGCAATGCTATCTGAAATTATTGTAGAGCAGCGCTATCCGGGCAGATTTTAGAGCGACACTAGCTGAGCAGACTTCACAGCAGCGCTGTCTGAAATTATTCTAGAGCAGCACTATCTGAGCGGATTGTAGAGCGACACTAGCTGAGCAGACTTCAGAGCAGCGCTATCTGAAATTATTCTAGAGCAGCGCTATCCGGGCAGATTATAGAGCAACATAAACTGAGCAGACGACAGAGCAGCGCTTCTTAAATTATTCTAGAGCAGCACTATCTGAGCAGATTGTAGAGCGACACTAGCTGAGCAGACTTCAGAGCAGTGCTATCTGAATTTATTCTAGAGCAGCAATATTCGTGCAGATTATAGAGCGACACTAGCTGATCAGACTACAGAGCAGCACTTCTTAAATTATTCTAGAGCAGCACTATCTGAGCAGATTGCAGAGCGGCACTAGCTGAGCAGACTTCAGAGCAGTACTATCTGAAATTATTCGAGAACAACATTATCCAAGCAGATTATAGAGCTACACAAGCTGAGCAGACTTCAGAGAAACACTATCAGAAATTATTCTAGAGCAGCACTATCTGAGTAGATTATAGAGCAACACTATCTGAGCAGACTTCAGAACAACGCTATCTGAAATTATTCTAGAGCAGTGGTCCCCAACCAAGTTCACCATTGATGTGCAGAGAGAGATGAGTTGCAGGGGACTCCTGTAGTCAACAATATTCTCTTTTGTCTTGCTGACGTAAAGAGACAGACTGTGTCACTGCACCACAGCTCAAGGTCTCTCACACGTTCTGTACACTGTCTCGTTGTTGTGTGTGATAAGGCCCACCACTGTTGTGTCACCAGCAAACTTGATGATGTGGTTGCTCTGATGTTGGTCAACACAGTCATGAGTGAGTAGCGTAAACAGTACGCGGCTGAGAACACAGCCCTGAGGGGCACCGGTGTTTAGAGTGAAAGAGTGCAATGTATTCTCGCAGACCCCTACTGCCTGAGTTCTGTCAGTCAAGAAGTCCAGGATCCAGTTGCAGAGTGCGGTGGTTTAATGGTGTTGAATGCTGAGATAAAGTCAATGAACTCCATTTTGCCAAGTGTCTTTGTGCTGCAAGTGTGAGAGGGCCAGGATGATATGATGTGGCATCCACAGTGGAACGGTTGTGTCTGTAAGCAAACTGTAAGAAGTCCAGTGTGGGTGGGTTGATGGTTTTTGTACGAGTCATGACCAGCCGCTTAAAGCATTTCATGACGATGAGTGTGAGTGCCACAGAGGCACAGTCATTAAGGCAGGTTATTGATGATTTCTTTGGCACAGGGATAATGTTGGCAGTTTTGAAGCATATTGGGACCACAATTTGTGATAGTAAGATGTTAAAGATGTCTGTAAGGACATCAGTCAGCTGGGTCGAGCATCCTTTCAGCATCCAGCCAGGGATGCCATCTGGGTCAGCGGCCTTACAGAGTCCTTTTTACTTCAGCTGCTGTGACAGACAGCATCTGGTTGTCTGCTGGTGGCTCTCCAGGTGCTCTTGGATATTTTGGGATCTACCTCTTGAGGAGGGAGCGAACCTCTCCATGGTTAAAGTGGTCATAAACTGCCCTTTTTGTTATTTTGTACTGTTCTCTGAGGTCAATTTATAATGTTATTAAGATTTTTACATAAAAAACATAATAATTTTCATTACTGTCTGATCAAATATAGTCGGCACTGCATCGTCTTTTAGTTTCAATCTTTTTGAAAATCCTGTGTCGAATTGTGCCTTGTTTGTAAACGAAGCTGCGATAAAATGAAGTGAACAAAGGACCAAGTTCTTACTGACGGGCTCTTGATCTTCATTAAAAATAAAGTTCATCCACTCTTTCCTAACGTTGGGATCAGAAGGAAGGCAATGCAAAGACTGTGTTTTTCCACAACTTGGCACTGCACAGCGTTTTGTTGTCTTCGGAACCGTCTTTACCCTGTTGTTTGCACTATGTGCGAATCGGTGAGCGGGGCTAAACAGGCAGCGATGTAGAAGCAGGTGTTGATCTTCTTCTGCGGATGTGGGGTTTAGCCACACTATTACGTCATAAAGTGGCACATTGCACAACCTGTAGTTTTGGCAGATTCAATATAAGCTATTTTTAGACTAATGACAAAGTTTTGAGCTCTGAAACTTACAGGATGTTTTATAGTACAATGACCTTTTATATGTGAAAAGATCAAGGGAATTTAGATTTCTCAGTTCATGACCCCTTAAATGTCTGGGGTCTGGGAAAATCTTCTTTCCAACACCTTCAAAATGTGCACACGTTCACAGTCTAAATCCCAACAGTGACAGACAATCAGTCCTCTTGTTCGCTGCCCACCCAATGATGTTGCCTTTGGGCTGTACTTTGGGTGTTTCTCGTTCTCGTGACAGATTCTCAGAGACCAGAGAGTAAGAAATGTTCTTGTTTAGAATTTGGCAAAATGTTTACTGAATTATTAAATACTACTTAGAGTTATGTTGTGTTTGAATTTTAAAACAGTCTACCAGTGCGGAGAGGCAACATTTCATCAGTTTAGAAACAGAGGCCCCCAGTGTAAGCTGCATCTCAAGAAGAAGCTAATTTCCTTCCTCCTCTTCCTTTGTCTGTTAAGTACAATGATCAAATAGACAAGGATGCCATGGAGTTGGCCAAGATGAGCCAACTGTATACTTTTTATGTCATGCAAGTGTCACATTTTGCTATTCCAGCAATACAATGCTTGCTTTAAATAACTGGCTAAAGGTCAAAATAGAAACATAGGAAACACAAACCTGGCTCATTTTCAAAAAATATATTTTGTGCACTGCAGCTGGATTTTAAAAAAATAACAGTACAAAATGATTTCAAACTGTAAACATACCTCTGGTTTCTCATTTTGAAAAAATCTTCAACACCAAGAAAAGAAAATATTCCTGCTAACTCACCAAATACTGGTTACTGGGTGTTCCAGGAGAACAAATTCTTCAATGGAGGGCAAGCTTTAAATCAGGGCTATTGATTTCCATTCCTGGAGGATAACAAACTCACAGAGTTTAACTCTAACCCTAATCCCCAAATCAAACACACCTCCATGCTATAATCAAGCAATCCTGAAAACCTTGATTGGCTGGTTTGGATGTGTTAAATTAGGGTTGGAACTAAACTTTCTGTCTTGTGGCCCTCCAGGAATGGAATTGAACAGCCCTGTTTTAATCTATCAAAGTGTCAATTGAAAACGACAGTCACAAGCAACAGAGATACGAACACTCTTCCTTTGCCAAAGGTCATCTGTGTCTATGCTGTTTTCTTGTCTGGCACATCTATGTTTAAGTGGATAATAGAGTATTTGTGTATGCAACTACAGTATAAATTTCACCAGATTGGTGGGGATATGCAATAATATGAAATATTAAAAGCAAACGTGGCTAACATTTCCCAGAATTCCTTTACAGTCCTCTCATTTTGATTTTGACTGGCCTAAGAAACTAACTGAAATACCATTAGTAATTTGGTATAGATATTGAAATATTTATTTCTGGCCCTTTTCCCTGTTTCCTCCAAAACCTCTTATATTACGTTAGCCAAAGGACATGAAGGGCATGATATCAAATTCCTGACACAGGCTGTTCTAAAGTAGTCTAAAGAAGGCACAGTGTTACATAATAATTAGATTACTGGTTATAAAAGTCACTATCCAACAAACTTTGTAGATGAAAATGGCTGAGGGCTCCTCTCAAGATAATTTAATACACTTTAAATCTCTCTCTCTCTCTCTCTCTCTCTCTCTCTCACACACACACACACACACACACACACACACACAGACCCCACTCCATGAATAATCAGCCTTCAGAAATTCGTAGAAAGTGTGATTGAAGACAATGTTAGAAAAAGTAACTGTCATTAAAGAAGAGGATGGATTAAAAATCCACAATACAGAAAGTTTAACACTAATTATGTAAGCATTCCCGAACGCACGGAAATAAATGCCTATCTGGGAATACGCGGACTGGATTAAAGTTTCTAAACACTTTCAAAGTGAAAAGGCACAGAAAGATAAATAGATAGTAGAGTCAGGTTCTTTGCGTTTCAAAACCGTTTACCAGAACGCGTTATTTCTATTTATAGTAGGCTACTCAAAACAACATTTTATCAGTTGGAGATCAAATAATGGATCACTAACATAGATTATAATCTTTTCTTTGACCTCATCTCAGGTACAGCATCTTACCGGCATAGCCTAACGTTCAGGTTGTCTGTTTTGATGACTAAAAAAATGAATGCGGAGGGATCCTTGTTCAAGCGCGCTCTCATTACTGTCTGATAGTTCTGTAGGCAGATGTGAAAAGAGCATGACAGAGGATGGAAAGAGAGAGAGAGAGAGAGAGAGAGAGAACGGTGGAACAGCTCGTGTCACTTTGATCGGATTCCAATCGGATATGAACAAAAATCGGATCTTGACTGACAGTCTGAATATATGGAAGAAAAATAATGCCATATGTCTTTGAAACAAAAAAGCACGTTGAATAGCACTAACTGAAAAAATAATGCATTGCATTAACAGTGCTTGCATTTTAATGCCTTGTATTTCTAGGGCTTGCATTTTTAGGTCCTGAGATTTAACATAGTTGTCTATTTAAGCTGTGAATATTTCAATTCAAAATATTTCACACACATTTTCATAATTAAAAATTCAATAATTCATATTCAACTCCCAGAATTCACTTCCAAAATATTCAATATGTTTAAAAATACGATGTATAATATACAACAGGCAAATTTCGGTCCATTTTATTTCACTTTCCAAATTCGCTTCCAAAAATTCGGTGGTTAATGCAAGGGGGTCCTTTAGAGTGACAGCTGCCCCTGATATTCCCTGATTTTATTACATTTT